GGCAAGATTTGGCCTTTAACCCTCCGCCATTGTACTCAACCCTGCTTCAAATACCAATCGAACGAAGCGGAGACAGAAAAATAGAGGACCTTTGGAGAAACTTGCTATACTTGCCAATTTACGATATTATAAGCAGTGATCTGCACACCCATGTATGCGGGTATCAGTGGGTACACTGTAAACGACTCTACCGTCCCTAATCGTCACATTTTGAGCCAGAATCAACACCTGAGCCCATTTAGATCTGAATTCAAAACCGCAGGAAAACTGCGGTTCTGTGTTATAGGTTAATCCACTTAGTGTTGACAACAGCCTTACGTTTTCTGGGCTGTCCGGTGTATTCAACAATATGCCAGCAACGACGCTGCTGAGGTTCTGTGTGCGCGGATTTATTATCTAAGTGAATGAATGACGGTGTAGTATCACGTATCTTAGGGTCTCTTCGGTCAAACAGGGTTTATCTTCGAATATACACTCATTTGCAAACCAATTTGGTTTTTCGAGAGACTCACCCAAAAACCAGCTGAATCTCACGTTTTTGATGTTCTCAGGCAACTGAATGTGCTGCACCAGGCCGCCTCATGTTTCAGTCGGTACGATATTCGAGATATCGCGATACATGTATATCTGTGTAATGTGCTACTGCTTTTGTGCAGTTTGGTTTCGAGTAGAACATATGGCTGACGAAAACCCGGGGACTACGCCTACCTGATGAGCCCTAAAAAGGGCGAAACCGGTCGTGGGCTGTCGACGGATTTTCAGCAACCTTATGAGTAGTACATTACAAAGGGTTTATCTCCGTTCACCTCTCCTTTAGCTTTTGCAACTGCTGTGGGCTACATTAGAACGTACCGAGCGATTGACTTATTAACTCGACTCAGGTCGACTGCCGATTTCTCAAGCCTTTTTTTCAGGCATACCTTTCCTAGGGTGCCTCATCACCTCCCGACTAAAACCTGGGGGAAGGGTAGCTTCCGTACGGGTCTACACCACAACATATTCGAATGCGTGTTTGCATGTCCAAACAGTCCTTTTGGAACAAGTATATCGAATTCTCAGCAAAGTAACAGTCCGTGCCCCATTCACCAAAACGGTCGTTGAATCGAGGAAGAGAACAGTAAAACTTGGAGAGCTATGATGTCTGAGGCAACGGATAACGAATGTTTCCCAGAAAGATAAATATGAAAGGATCGTCAAACTAGTGAATACCTGGTATTCCGAATTTTACAGGCCCTAATCCCCTCGAGGCTAGGGAGGTACGCCTTGCAAGTTCGACACCTCCTGGCTTTTCAGGATCTGTTGACTCGGCCTTACAAGATGACATTCACACTATAACCTAACTTAGTTAACCTAGTGTCTGAAGGCACTTTGGAGTGATTAAGCCTTGAACAGCAATTTCGTCCATGAATCAATATACCAACAAGCTAGAAAACGCACGAAAACAACTAAGGATAATTTGGGTGAATTAGTAACGCGGAAGGTTTCTACAGATTCGCGTAGATCACAAAACTTCGGATAGTTTGCTACACAGGAGAATGGTCATTGGCTTGTTCGCTGAGCTGGGCACTAAGGATAGGGTGAATTAGTAACGCGGAAGGTTTCTACAGATTCGCGTAGATCACAAAACTTCGGATAGTTTGCTACACAGGAGAATGAATGGTGGCTTGTTCGCTGAGCTGGGCAATTTGGTTGCAAACGTTTCATCACCAATCGAGGTGACATCATCAGTGCGTAGTTGTGCGTAGCGGTGGGTTAGTGGTTGTGCG